CTGCAGCCTCTGCCCGGCTCGGCGCGCGGAGGAAGCCTCCGGGAAGGACGCCCGGGAGCCGAGGAGGAGCACCCCGTCCGGCCGCCCCCCCCCCGCGCCGCCCCCGGCCCTTGCGCGCGCTCCGGCGCCCCGCGCGGCGAGCAGCCCGGCCTGCCGAGTCCGCGGCCGCAGCGCGCAGGAGGCGCGCCCGCTTCCCGGCCGAGCCTTCGCGGGGTCGGGCTCCCGGCTGCGCGTCCCCGCGCCGCGATGGCCACCCGGGAGAGCGTGCAGATCCCGGACGACCGCGATTTCGACCACTTCCGCGCGGAATGCAACTCCGAGGACGGCTGGAGCCTCACCTATAACAAATCCGGGATCGTCGTGTGGATCCAGATCCTGGAGATGGAGAAGTCGCTGCACAAGATCAAGGTAAGGAGCGCGCCTGAGCAGGTGGGGCGGTTCGCTCGGTCTGCCCCACTCGGCTTGGTGCCCCTGAGCCCCGCTGGCCGTCGGCGGGGCTGCGCCTTGCCCCGTTTGCCGAGCGAGCACGTTCTTGCTTCCGGGGGCGGCTTGGCAGGTTGCCCTGGGCCACCATTAGCCTGAGTGTTGGCTGAAAAACCGTGGCCAGCTGCGCCTGGCAAGTTTCTTCTTCCTCTCCTGCCTGTTGGTCCTTCAGCCCAGGATCCTTGGCAGAGCCCCTCCTGCCCCCCCCCCAGTCACATTGCTGCCCCTCTGTTCACTACCACCTGAAGAAGAAGCCTCAAAAGTCTCTGTCCTTTCGTTTTTCTCCCTTTGAAAACTGTACAATTTGGCTTTTTAAAAATTTCATTTTGGTCTTTCACAGGTGCGTAAGTGAGCACTCGTGTCTGTTTCGCACCTGTGCTCCTTGCTGGTCAATTTCCTACTCAATTTCAGCGGTTAAAGACAGGACAATGCTAGACTGGGTACAGGCACACAATTCCCCCTCCATTTACCTCGCAGCTGTTCAAGTTGTGTACATTTCTCTGCTTCTGTTTGTTCAAAAACACTGTCAGGGACTGTGCCGTCTGTTACAACAGGCACACGGAAAAGGAAGAGAATTCTGCTCTCCTTTCCTGGAACAGCTGGAGCATAGCAGGAGTTTACAAAAGGCAGAGAGTACTGTGAGTTCTGTACTGAAAATTAAGATTTTTACATTGTGAAGGGGAAGACATTGTCCCTTTTTGGTGTACCTTCTGCTACTGTCCCCCCCCCCACCTTTACAGTCTCACCTGGTCTTCCCTTCAGCGGCTGAAACCGACAAGGAAATTGACTAGCAAGGACTACACAGCAAGGTCTCACTTGCACAATTGCAACCGACAAGGAAAATGAACGATAATGAGAAAGCATGACCCGAACCGTTGGTGTTTGAAGCCCTGAGAAATAGACGTTAAGAGGGGGGGAAAGGGACGAGTGGTGGTCCCTTCAAAGTGCCCCTTTGCCATGGTGGAAGGGCAGTCACTGGCACATTCACGGAAGAAACACAGAAGCAAAGCAAGCCGGAAGGGGCCTCCTGGGCCGCCTAGTCCGACCCTGGCTCTGGCTGGCTCTGCTTGCGACATGCCCAGCGTGTGGTTGCCCCGTCCTTCAGGAAGAAGCAGGAGGGGATTCGGCCCGTTTGCTCAGCAGCCTGTGGCAGTTCCCAGCAACCTGCGTGAGGATGGTCCTGCAGGGCTTGGATGACACAAGAAGCCATCATGGGCAAGAACGACCCTAACGCAAGCTGTGGGTTGTCAGCAGGGCGCTTGTCCATGAAGGAGTCGCTCGTGCGGGCTTGGGGCAGCGCGGTGGCTAGCGAGTGGCCAGCAGTGGGTTGTCATGGTGGGTTGTGGGAGCCAGTTCAGCCCCTCTGCACCCCCGCTCCCCGCCCGTCCCATGTTCATCGCCTGCCTGTATGTCTCTGGTAAATGTGGGAAGACAGGGTGGTCTTCAGAGGCGGCACCCGAGGCTTTTGGTGGAAACGTACGTTCGCATGGCCCTGCCTCTGCTCCTAGTGCAGGGAGAAGGCTTCTCTGCCCGGTGCGCCTCCCCCTGTACACGGGGGGGGGGGGGGTTAGGTCTTTTGAAAGTCTGATTGCCTGGGTAATTGATGTGGTTGAGCTACTCGCATCTGTCCTGGGAGATTCCAGGGAGGTGGAAACGCGGATGGTTGTTAGTGAGTGACTCGGGGTGCAGTCGCCTGGCTGCCCGGTGGTCTAGACAGAGTCCCAGCTGCAGCCTCGGAAACTCGCTCCTGGCGCGCCCTCCTCCTGGCCTTGCCGCCCGTGTGGAAAGCGCTGTGTGGGCTGCAGCCCGAGCAGGCGACGGGCCTTGGGGACAGGGAGAGGAGGGTCGGGTGCCGTCGGCCCAAGCAGTGACCTGGTCATGCAACAGCCTCTGCGCAGGGGCAAAACCGGGCAAGGGGGCAGCCTGACGCAGAGCTGGGAGTCGCAGGCCCTGTCCTGTCGAAACTTGCATGGGACTGTGCCTGAAGTGGGGCAGAAAACCCCGTGTTCTGGGCAGTCGCTGTCATCGAGCTGGCTTTGGCGTCCGCGTGGAGACTGGCCTGCCTCTCGGGGCTGCCGCAGGGTTACCGTGCGGGGTGCTAGCAAAGTCTTCTAAAGCGCTAAATAGATGCGAAGCACTCCGAACGGTCCCTGGAATGCTACCTGTCTTTCCTTCCCTGTCTACACAATAACCCTGTAAGGTAGGACAGGCAGGGAAAGAGTGCTGTGTTCCAGGTGACCCAAAGAGCTCGGCGTTCTCGGGGGGGGGGGGTTGATTTATTACTGCTCTGTTGCATGGCAGGGACACTGCCGGGCTGTTTTATCCCAGTGCATTTCAGCCTCTCCAGGAAGCTGCTCGGGGTGGCGGGGGGCTCTCCACGGGGCTGGGGTGTCACAGCAAGGCAGGGGAGGCACAGCGCTGCCTCTCCGTTTTGCCGAAAGGCCGTGGCTGCTCTGAGCCAAGCCTGGGAAGGGCAGCCGGCTGCGGGGGGGCAGATGAAGGGCGCCTCGCTCCAGGTGAGACGGCGCCCCTGCTCGCCTGCCCACGCAGGGGTGTTTGCCCCATCCCGGGACCTGTGTGCGGGCTGCGTGTGCGCCCTCTGAAAGATCGGGTGTGGAGCTGGGCGTGCTGCTGGCTCCATCGCTGCCCGTGGACGCGCAGGTGCCCGCGGCAGCCTGGCGCACCTTCTGCCAGGTCAGGCTGGCCCACCCTCCTGGCCCTACCTGGGCTCAGCCAGCCCTGGGAGAACCAGGCAGCTGAGGACCTGTCTGGACTGTTGTGCTGCACGTGGGCCTTCCAGGGCTGGCGTGCGAAACGGGGTGCTGGAGGAGAGCTTTGCAAAACCCTTGGAAGGACAGTCGGGCAGGCGAGGGGGTCCCAGATCAGGCAAGGCAGAGCTCCTCCGGAGGCAGAAATGGCACAGCTGAGGCTGCCCTGGGCGAGAAGGCAGAAGGCGTCGTGTCAGGGGAAGGCCGAGGCAGCAGGCGAAAGGGAAGGCCAGAGCTGAGGTGGGCTGGGTCCGCCAGGGGAGCCCCGGCCTTGAGCTTGGGAGCGCTGAGCGGGGCCGCCACGGACCGGGCGCCTTGGCGGGCTTGCCATAAGTCAGAGGCGCCGGATGGCATGTAGCGGCGACACTGCCCTGCGCTGGGGCTGCCTCCGGAACCGGTCCAGCGGCCTCGTCCCGGCCACAGTGGGGATCCGGTCGCCTCCTGCCCGCAGCTTGCTGTCCCTGTGCCTGGTTTAGTTCCAAGACTTGGGCCGCATTGCTTGACCGCGTCGTCCTTCCCCCGCCAGTTGCCTGCCCAGGTTCCCAGGCCTTTCGCAGGTGCTCCCGCCGAGTGGAGACAAGGGAGGGGGCCTTCCAGAGCTGGCGCCCCCCCCCATGAAGTGCCCCCTCCCTCTGCTGGGTGCGCTTGGGCATCGGGTAAGGAGCTTTTGAGCTTTTGAATTTCTCGGCTCTTTCAGGTACTGCTTGAATGCTTTTCGGTCAAATCTGCGCCGTTTTATCTCTGCCGCCGGTTTACCTTTATTACTTGCTGCATTTTCTAAAACCCCTATTACTGATATTATCTTGCATTGTTTTGTGGTCATTGTTTTATGTCCTTTTCATATTTTCGTATGCATTTACATTCTCAGCAGGCAGAAAACTTTTGCTGTGGTTAGTTTGAAAGCGGAATAAGTAAAAAAAGCTGAATAATTATAGTTTACCTCCTTTGAGTTCAACCCATGTCTGGAAGCTCTTTTTCAGCTCTGCTAGGGCTGGTCTCTCAGGAGGCATGGAAGCGTTCATGGGACCAGTCAACATGCCGGGCGAGGCAAAAACCAGAGTGAAGTTGTCATTGCATGGGTCTGCCAAGAAAAAGGAGTTCTGTGCACGGAACAAACCCAACGCATTTCTGTGCTATGCAAGGGCAGCCATGAGGAAGTAAAAGCTCCGTACCTTTTCCCTTTTCACCCACCTCCTTTCGTCTCCTGTGCTGCAGGCTTTTTAGCAGAAGGAGAGCAGGACGCTCTGTCTTCCTGGGCAAATTCAACATTTCCATCCCCGTTAATGCTGCTCGGCACTTTGGTGCCAAAGGTCAGTCTTGCCCTGGGGAATCCATCGCTGGGCAGCAAGGAGCAGTGCCCTTGGCGGGTGTGCTGAGCCTCGCCCCCTGCAGCCAGGGGGCTGGGCGCCCTCATCCATCCTGCAGCCGCCCCGGCCCGGCGTTCTCCTGATGTGCCGGAACGCAGCACCCCAACCATCGGGGAGGCGCTGGGGAAGGCTGGCGCTGTGGAGAAAGCAGCCCTTCCCTGTGGATTTGAAAGGGGGCTTCGGGACGTGCATCGAACGGGAGGCGCCCTCTGTGAGAGGGGCCATCACAGGACCGGGCAGGTTTGCAAGCGCAGCAGGAAGCCACACGAGGTGGTGCGCGCTGGTGCCTTCCCTGGCAGCCGGATCCACAAAAATCTCCATGTGAAATGGGCACCGCACGGATGCCGGCCTTTCGGCCCCACGCAGGTGCCGCACCCGCGCTCAGTGAGATGGAGCGGCCGAGCTGTCGCGAGAGGCGCAAGAGCCCGGCTGGAGAGCTGGCAGCCCCTGCTCCTCAAGGCCGCCGTTCCTTTCTGCCAGCAAAGCAGGAGGGCGGCAGGGCAGGGGCCTCCCAGAGAGGGGACTGCGAAGGGGAGCTCTGGGGCTGAGTCCCAGGGGGCCCCTCCTCACGCCCTTCTGCCTCCCCGCCTTGCAGGTGCATCTGTCCCAAAGCTGTTGCTTTACTTCAGGAGCTGAGTGCGGAGGTGCAGAACGCAGAGCCCGTGGGCCAGACCGGGCCCACCTGCGGCCTCCTGACACCAGCACACGCCTTCCGTTACCTGGAGGCTGCGCTTCCCCCTCCCCATTCTGAAAGGCCAAAATGCCCTCCTGAGGCTGGCTTTCTGAGGGC